TCCGGCGTGTATAAAAAGCACTGACAGCCTGCTACTTTGCTGTAGAGGAGCCTTAGATTGTCTCGTATACGCAAGGAACGGGTCATAAGCACACGTTTCCGGGATGCTGCACCCCCTGCAGTCAAGCGGTCGAATCCGCATACCGTATATGACACAAGATAACACACCCCCTGGACCGATTTTTCAGAACTCGATTACTTCACGACGAAGAGGATGCATGGATGAAAGGATACATTTTCAGAGAGCTGTCGACCAGACGGCTTCAACGCCGCCGTTTTCGCCCCTGCGACTGTTGCTGCTGTTGAAAAATCGAGCTTTGAAAATCGGTCCAGGGGGTGTGTTATCTTGTGTCATATACGGTATTCTCCGTACGTGCCAAGTTGTCTACATGCCTGGCGGGTCTGTACATTAGTCTACATACAGTATTTAGTCAACATGTTTCATCGCAACCACATCCCAGTTGGCTCTTCGCGTGTGGGATTGCATGTGGTTTTGTCCGACATGTCCGTCTTTTGCCAAGGGGGGCAGGTGCATCGTTACAACGCCTGCTACATGGCCTCGCTCCCAAGTGCACATCCCAGAGGGCGCGTTGTGTGCCTCCCTCTCCATGTCTGATGAGTGGGCAGAAAGAGACAAAGAGAGAGAGAGAGAGAGAGAAAGAGAGAGAGAGGACTACCCCCGTGGAGACATGTCGTGATGCCTCTGCCATGCCTCATTAGCCTTCCCCCCAAATCTCCCGCATTTTCCGCGCGCCACCCCGTGTATTTTGCTTGCAGAGGACACTATCTACAGACAGCCAAGAACCACGTCCACCCCCCCAGGTGAGAAAAGTGTGCGGTGCGGCCCTCTATAATACGAGGAAGACGAAGGCAGTTATTAGAGCAGGGCGAGGTGGACAAGATTTGGTAGGAACAACCACTAGATAGGGTTACCGCAGGAGGAGTAAGAGCGGTGTTGTCCTACATATCGGAGAGATTTTATTTGGTGGCACTTCGACGGCTGGCTGCGGACGGGGACGGGGACAGATCTCTGCCGTTTGTCAATGGTGAACATTCGGCACGAACGTAGATTTTGGTGTAGTAGTTATTCCGTAGGAGGCGTGCCTGTTTGGATGAGAGCGGTTCTCTGGCTGGGAGGTGGAAGCGTCGTCATCGGTCAAATCACCAC